CCGCCGTACCTCCTGTTACCTGGCACGGGCAACCACGGCGCCCCCCACTCCGCGCCGCGATTCAAATTTTTAACTCCACAAGCCGGTATTACTCTACCACTAAGAGTTAAAACTATACGAAACTGTCTCTATAATCTACTGTTCTAGATTTATTTCACAATTAACATTTTCTTAATCACTTTACTGTACGATATAAATGAAATTGTCAAATGAATTGTAACGTGGATTTCGTAAACTTGCTTTTTAGCCGTGTTCGGTGTTGATTTTAGATTGAATGCAACAGGTTGCATCGGTTTCGTTGTTACAGAAAGTTAGAAACATGGTTAGGACAAACAAAGAGTCGATTCAAAAGAAGTTAATTATTTTCGGGTAATATCATTGATAAGGGTCAAATTACTTACGTGTAGTGCTTATAGGTAATTAAAATTAAAATTATAAATTGGTCTTTGATTAAAGTATCCAATTAGATTTTATTAAATACTAACTACCTATTCTCGCGAGATTTCATCCTCTGCTCTGCTCCTACAGATCGTAGCGTGATGTTTTATAGCCTTCCTCGATAAATAGACTAACAAACAAAAAAAGAATTGTTCAATTTAAACCTTCAGCTTTATAATATAAGTATAGATTAAGAACCTACTTATTATAAAACAGGCGTGTGACTTTTGTGCTATGCTATAGAATAGTATAGAAAATGTAGAGTAAGGAATAATTTATCATTTTAGATAATTAATTTTTATTATTAACTACCAGGTCTCCCCAGGTTCTCATAGGTGCAATGCTAATGCTAAATTTCTCCACTATTTAATGGATGTTGACTTTACATAATACACTTTCCTCTTCAATCACTATCTACGGTATTAATAAAAACTCGCATAAAAATCCGTTGCGTGGTTCGAAAGCTTTAAAGTACTTATGCATAGAAATATAGGGACATAGAAAGCGACTTTGTTTTATACTATGTGGTGGCAAAGCCCTGCAATGGTCGGAAGTACCATGTTAATTAACATTTAGGTATTATGGAGTGCGAAACTCTTAACTATGGCATGGCATGGCATTTTAAACAATGGATAGCCATACCAACTTAAAAATAGTAAAAAATATGAGCTAAGTGCCTAGTGTTAATTATTTTATTATGCAATACTAGTATAATTGAATTACTAATGAATCCTGTTTACTAATGAGAGGCAAAGTGACGAATGGAACCAGTTTGCCATTAAAAATCATCAGGGGCAGTGCTTTATAAATGATCCGATAACTAAAGCACTTAATTAGGTGTATTTAATTGAGAATATCTGTCATACTAGCTTTTGCCCGCGACTCCGTTCGCATAGAATAGTGACTTCCCGCTGATTTTGGTATACCTACAAACTATCCTATGTTCTTTCTCGAGTTCCAAACTATGTCTGTACCAAATTTCATAGAAATCGGTTCAGTAGTTTAAGCGTGAAGAAAAGAGAGAGAGTCAGAGTTAATTTCGCATTAATAATATAAGTTTGGATTTTTAATTCAAGTAAGTAGTTATAGTGATCAAACTTGATAATTATAAAATGTTTAATATGTGGTAGGTGAAAATCTTATATTATTTTGTCTAAACGCTTGGAATAATGTAAAAAGTATTTGGGTATTATCTAATAAAATGAATTGTCTCAAAACGTCACTCAGTACCACGATGATCTTCGAAAATATGAAGTCGGTTAAAAATATCCTGTACTAGGTAAATCAACAACTGTATCAATCTAAATAATCGTTTTAGCTCAGTGGTGACATCTATATTAATTTTTTTTTATGTAATAGGTCGGCAAACGAGCAGACGGATTACCTGATGGTAAGCAATCAGCGCCGCCCATGGACACCCGCAACGGAGGAGTTACGAGTGCGTTGCCGACCTTTTAGGGATTAGGGATTTGGAGATTTAGGAACTGGGGAGGGATTGGGAAGGGGAAGGATTGGGTCTCCGGTAACCTCCCTAACACGGCGAAACACAACACTGTGGTTGTTTCACGCCGGTAAAAAATTTGTAAAAACAAAAGTTATATTTAGAGAGACCGTCCCTAAGTACCTATTCGTTATTGACAAAAGATCTAATCGGTCCAACTCTTTTAAATGCTTTCCTGTGCTTTGTTCTGTGTACGAAAAGGAAAAGTTATTTTTAACGGTAAGAGCTCATTAACGCACGGTGGTAGGTATATAATAATAATTATGTTAAATACCTATTGACCTTCTTATTAAAAACTAGCTGCTTTCGCACGGTTTCATCCGCTGCTCGGCTCTATTTGATTGTAGCGTGATGTTTTATAGCCTTTAGCACTCAGGAACATTGCAGCTGATGCTATCTATCAGTGAAAGAATTTTAGCAATCCGACCAGCGAGCGGTTCCAATGATTACCCCCTACATACGAACTTACAAATTTACAAATTTTACCTCTTTATGCAATACTACTAGTATAGAAGTACAGATTATTGTTTAAAGTTTTGACTGAGAAGAACATAACATTAAAATATTCGGAGATCCTCAAGTACATTTGCTGGTTTATATCGGTAAAGTTATGCTAAAAAGCTGTGCTAAACACATTAAAAAAAACATTAATTATGTATGTCTTAATATCTTAAATCTTCGTTCCTTTATACTAGATGTTAATACTTTAAGGTGCTAACAGCACCACTTCGACCGTAGAAGTCTATTATCAAACCACGTTGCTTCTTTGGGTGTCAGGTTTGAATTAAAAGATACAAAATAGACAAGGCCAACATTCATTGGCTTCAGAACCCGCACAATATATCCCTTTCTCCCCCTTTTCCTCTGCTTTTACCATTTTTAGACTAACAATGTACTTATTGTAATAATAATTTTAATGTATTGGTTAATCCCCAATAATTCAAGAGTGGAAGAGCTAAACTTTTACTTAGTGCCATCAGGAATGGGCCAGCTCGACGAGAGTAATACCACGGCCTTACAGAAAACCGACATACGTCGCTGGCATTGTGTACTTGTGAGGTTACCGTGGACCCAATCTTCAAAGAGGCCAGCTCGCCATGAGTGGCGCTGATTGCTTAACCTCAGTCTTCTTGTTTGTCGCCCTATGTCATAAAAACGGTTTAAATCGTTGTGGTGGACCATCCGCTTTTCCTGCAAAACGGTGAGGATTTATAACCTTGCAATGTCCCTATGTGTGTGTGTCTTAAGTTTATTAAATCAATGATGGACTGTGAAGAAACCTGGACTTCTTATTTGTAGTAGCTATATAGCTTTGAATCTCCCTTGAGCAAGCGTGTGATTAATGTTAAGACCTCCTCCGTTGCAGGAGAGGCCTTTGCTTAGCAGTGAGCACTACTAGGTTGATGATATTGTGATGAATGTTTACTTACAAAATATATATTTTTTTCGTTATATGGCTGTCTTGTCCCGAAACTTTATTTGTGCTCGCTTCACAGACTTGAGATTTCAGCGATCAATCGCCTACTGCAGCTGTACCACAACAAAAATGTAAGCTTTTCATTATCTTTGTGTGTGCATGCCTTATAAACACTACTTTGTTTTATACTACCTATATAAAACAAAGTCGCTTTCGCTGTCCCTACTTATATCCCAAAAATAATCGCTGTTCTCAAACCCTTAAAACTACACAACAGATTTTGTGATTGAAAAGGAAGATTTATACTTATGTTTAATATAATTCATTAAATAGTGGAGAAATTTAGTATCAACAACATTGTCCCGTGCGCAACTGGCAATCTATACTAATATTATAAAGAGGTAAAATTTGTAAGTTTGTATGTAGAAGGTAATCTTTGGAAGTGCTGATCGGATTTCCAAAATTCTTTCACTGATAGATAGCTACAATATTCCTGTGTGCTATAGGCTATAAAACATTTACACACGCTACGATGAAATGGAGCCGAGCAGCAGGTAAAACCGCGCGAGAGTAGCTAGTTTTAAATAAACTAATTAAAACTGGTAATTAATTATTCATGTACGCATGTCGCTAGTGGTCTATAAAATTAGACTTAACTTTAAGTTAAGAATGAAGCTAATATTAATTTGGTAGTAGCAATATTAACCAAATTACAAACTGAGGAGTAACGTGAATAATATAACATAAGTTTAGACTTGACTATCACTTATCCAACAGGGGAAAAAGTAAAGACGTACAGAATTGTATTTTAGGAAAACTTCTCGTCGAGCGCCATATTCAAAAATTTATACAGCTCTTAAAATAAGGGGAACAGCAGACGCAAATTAATATTTAAAACATACTTAGCTTTAAGATGAAGACACGGGTATACACCTACATAATAGATACTTTGAAACGCATACATAGGGATAGAGGGACTGCAGAATTTCTAGTCACATATATACCTACATAGCAATCCGTAGATTGAGGTGCGCGCGCAAAAATTCTAGCCTGAACACTGAACAGATAAGACCTCTTTTTGAGTTACAGGTTACGACATTCTCCAGCTACTTTTCAAACCGAGAACGCGTTTTTTAAATTCTAAAGTTTTTAATCTAACATGGCTATAGTTTATGGCACAACATGATCAACATTAAAATACCTAACGTATTTAGAGAGTCTGTAGCGTTCTGTCAAACGGGATCAAGCATTTTCGACAGATTTTCGGCATTTCACTATCCAATCATGAGGATCGGTAAACGAAAAAGAACTGCAAGAATTGCTTCCATATAACAAAATGGTTAAATAGAAAAGTGTGCAGACAGATTCCAATAGTACAAAATTAAATCGTTAATATGGTTTAGTGATAAAACATTCTTATCACGGTAACATAATGTTTGGAATGCGGCTTAGCATTGCGAATGAATTTGCGCGGCTCAAGGAAGAAATACTTGTGAAAAAGAAACTTTAGGAACATGGCGGGGCTACGGTACGGTACCTATATGATCAGATTTATGCCACCAAACATTGAATAGTCAATAAAATGCGACGCCAGCCGCTTAATTATTCCATTGAAGTCAATTGTCAGTTGAACGGTGTAGGGGAGCACAGTTGACGTCAAATAACAGCTGATAGGAGGCGCTTGCGCACGATAGCACCAACGTTCCTCTCTAGCTACAGAAGTGCGGCTTACTTATAGTGTACAAGTGAGTTATTTGAAGTCGTCGAAGCAAGGACAGTCGCAATTTAACCGTAAGTACCTGTGGTTCTTAATCTTGTGGAAGTAGGTACTCATTTGTATTGACAAATAATGTTTTCGCTGTAAGCATTAGTGTTTTAATTTAGGACTTTGTGATAGTGCGAATAAATTTCAGTTTTAGCCAGCTGTCGTGTAATTTCTTTCGTATATAAAAGTAAATTATGTTTTAAAAGATTCGAGTTGATTTATTGAAATTTAATTTCTTACTATTTCCTTTTTACATAAAATATAAATGGTTCTCCGGTCGTATTGTTGACTATAAGTAAGTACATAGTTCTATTAATATTGCTTTCTTGTCGATAAGAACGAATTTAATTTTTAACCGGATGTAATGTTTCTTTTTGGTTGAACGCTTTTTATGTCAGTTCAACTTTGATAACCCGTATTCGATAGGTACGCGAATGTGGGAAAATGGCCAAGTAAAAGTAGGTTACTTTTAGATAGGTTTATTTATTTAATCCGAATAAATAAAAATCAAATCAATAATTTTGCTGTGAAACGCTTTATCAATTACGAATATCATTTTTTTGTTAGAGGAACTGAAAAATTTAACTCGACAGTGGTTTTTTCTTTTTTTCTCTTATTAATCTTATTATTTGTTGTTTTATTTATTCATAATATGATTTCCTTATTTAATAAAGGTCTGGTCACAATCAGTCCAGGCATTTCAAGGATTAGCTGAAACAAACTGACAAAAACGCAAAAAATATGGTATGTTCCGTATAAATTATATGTATCTAAAATGCGGTTTTATCTTTAATTTCAATATTACACACAGAAACTCCAATTGTATTTATACTTAAATTATGTACCTACATATATTATAAATGTACCTAAAGGTAACTTGAATTACTTCCATAAATTCAAAACACGACTCTGTATGGTCAAAGTCTTGGCAATTAAAACAAAGTACCTGAGTTCTCTGATCCCTGAATGAAGAACGCAGGTAGAAGTACATCTTGCTTACTGCGTTTTGAAGCCTATTTTGATTGTAAACTTGTTTTGGTATGGACCTGTTGGCGTTTTAAGCATTTAAGCTCTCAGTTAGTTGCGTTTACAAGACAAAGTGTTGTGTTGGTCCTTGGGAAATCTGGTTAAAACAAGTAAGATAGGTCTAGCTAGTAATAATGTACTTATAACCCACTTTCTGACTCACATTTTTTCAAGTCAGCACAGAGTACCTTAACTTATTCTGATATTACTTTTTGTCATGAATGTATTAATACTGTATTAATCCAATTTATTGTGAGTAGTGTAGGTGTAGTAGTGTACATGTATTATATATAAATTTTTAATTAATAAAATACATTTTTTTTTCATATTGCCAGGTTTCAATAATTCCGAAGGTTAAACATGTTTAGCACCCTACGACGTTTATTTGAGCAGTCTTTAAAAAAGCGCCCTCTGTTGACGAATTATGTAGTTTACGCTTCCTTCTACACGGCTGCGGAGTTCACACAGCAGACTGTAAACAAATATTACTTGGTAAGTATAGGACGGTAAAGGTAAAAAAGATACTTTTTTTTAATATAATCATAATAGAAATAATAATTTTAATGTCCAAAAGCAAAATTTCATTCAATCATTATCAGCACATAAATCGGAGAATGTTTACGTGTACTAACTCTTAAAAAATGTCAGTGAATTCTAAACTTTTGTAAATCATTACAAAATAATTAAAAAATACATTGGAACAAAAAACTAAAGAAAACTTATAGTCAAAAAGATTATGGCAGCGGTGGGATTCGAACCCACGCCTCCGAAGAGACTGGTGCCTTAAACCAGCGCCTTAGACCGCTCGGCCACGCTACCGTTGATACGGAAGCGCTAATTTACCATTCAATATCTCAGCTTTATGACGTAATCGTGTACAGTATTTATATTTGAAAAAATTAACATAGCTTTATGATAATGAACTTTACTTCGTATATTAAGTACAATATAGTTTAAGTCGACTTATAAAAGTGGATACCTACCTCCCTATTCACAGTAGATCGTGAGTCGTGGCGTTTCTAATAATAAAATTCTATATATACATTTATGTGAGTATGTAAATGTTAATACAATGTTTGTGGTGTTGGGAAGGGTTATGGTGTCATTTTAAAATACTCAAATGAAATGCGCCATTGGCAAAGGTCGCTGTTATCACTGCCAGTCAATAGTCGTATTTATAGAAGAAGAAATAAGATATAATTCTTTATGCCAGGTACAGCTGGGCACTAATGAGGATTTTAATAGATATCGAAATGCGGTTTGTAGGTAAAATAATTTACCGCGGTCTCGACGCAGAGCAAGAGAAGGAACAGGGTGGTTGTAATTCTAAGTCAGTAAGAGTCTAGCACTCCCTAATGCCCTAGAGAATGTAGCCTGACATTTGATAGCTTTCACCCAATAAGCAACGTAGTTGGAGCTGCGCAAAGCACGTACTCGTTCAGGTATATAAATCTACGGGGACAGAATGATATTGTGTAGGTTTGGTACCTAACTTGACATTTTTGCAAAGTGCGTACACATAGTCGGTATACCAAGTCATAATCTAATCTTTTTATTATTTTCCAGCCAAATAAACCAGACTACAACCTCACCTCTGGAGCTCGCGTTGTCATGGTAGGCAGCACGCTGTACGCACCCAGTCTATATTATTGGTAAGTAACAAAATGTCTATGGCGGAAAGGCAAAATGCTCGAAAGGAGTCTACAGACCAGAAGTCGTTTCATAGGCAGGCAGGTAGACTGATCATATTGTCAGAGGTCTCGAGTACCGTTGACTCCAGAGCCTTAGAAGGATGCCTGGATGGACTTCTTTCGGCTGAAGATGATGATGAGTACCTAATGTCACACACAACCATTATAAAGCATTGTGGCAAATAAGCCAATCCATTAACTGCTTCGCTTCTGGTAGATGTTCTTTTCTATTTCTGTGCAGGTCTCAGTTTTAACCTAACCTAATATAACCCAGTCAATCTTTTGACCTGCCTGAACGATTGGATAATCAAAAGCTAGTTGAGTGTCATAAATAGTTTACAATCACCAAGTGTGGAGGTTACGATGAACCCTCTCCCTCTTGTGTAGAGGTGTCGTATGGTCCAGTAGTGATCTGAACGGAGACCTAGGCCTAGAAACCTAGTACCTCCCCAATGAGACTAGTAGGTATATCATACCTATCATACATAGGTCACTGAACTCGCGATAGCGCAGCCGCTAACTTCTGTCTCTCGAGTAATAAAATTGTTCTCCATATTTCAGGTACAAATTCCTAGACAAGAAATTTTCTGGTACTGCCTTCAAGACGGTGATCACCAAAGTGCTGTGTGACCAGTACACCATGACACCAGTTCTGTTGGCCTGCTTCTTTATAAGTAAGTTAGATACATATATTGATAGATAATCAAAGTGTAAGAGTCATACTTCGTATGAATTGCATACGAATGAAATGAAGACATGCATTCATTTCATATTAATGGTCCGTCTCGACTGGAATGACACCACGACCTCAGAAAACACGTTTGCGTTGTGCTTAGCCAAGTCTTCCCCAGTCCCAATCCTCCAATCATTAACCTTCCAATCTTAAGGGTTTCACCACAGACGGGGCCCCATAGGGCTGATGTTCAGCCGGGGTTGCGGGGTAAGCGCAATGAGGCACCGCGACCTCGGCCCAGAGCAGGAGTAGGAACAGGGGGTTTTTAGTCAGTAATTAGAGTCTGACACTCCCTCCCGCCCGGCCCTGGGCGGGAGAAGTCATTTGATGATTTTCCCTCATAAAAAAAGGTACCAGACATAGACAACAAACACATCTTAACTCGGTGGAGTCGTGGTGTATGATGACCCAATGATATTATAAGTAAAATGGTGTAGATAGGTTACATAAACAAAATTCGATTTTCAAAAACGGCACACTAATGCACACAAGAATAACTCGTATGATTAGAGGTCAAAGCGAGATGGCAGGATTGAATAATCGCGAGTGAAAAAGAGACAAATATGAAAAAGTGTGGCTTTTTTTTTAATGTATCACTTGCTGAGCGCCAATGACCTATCTACATCTTTTCTATTCTTCTATAAGACGGGTTCGAAACTTCATAAGTACCAATGTGCCTTTATATTTCCAAACTTATAGTTATACTTTCAAATTTTATGTTTGGAATTGCTACACAGTCTAGAGCAAGCATGTTGATTAATGTTTAATTTAAAAAGTGAGAATGTACCTTAGGCCTGAACACAGCAATGGGCTTGGTAAATGAATAAAATAACGTGCTACCCTGCATTTCTTAAATTATTTACAAATTATGACAATTAGCTGTAAAAAAACGAATGAAATTTTATATACTTAGATATTTGGCCTCTTTGTTATCCAATCCGTCTTTGTTATCAATTCCGTTTGAGAGCTGCCCCAAACCTGTACTAGGTATATGTATATCGTCCTATTGCCTAGATATAACTATAGTGTAGCGCGTCCTGTGTATGGGGGATTGCGGGTGTATAATGTACCGTGGCATGACTATTATGGGTCGGGGCAAGAGAAGGAACTGGTTGGTCTTAGTCAGTAAGAGTCTGGCACTCCCTCTCACCCCACCCAGAGGACAATAGATTTCAAAATATACCTAAGAATAATTAGGTTGAAGTCAGCCCCAAGTACTTACCCACCGTCCATTCTGTAGGTACGTTTCGCCTAATTCAAAATCAAAAAGTTAATATGTATAAATGAAGTATGAGTTCCAAAACCTCGGTAGTTATAATGACACACGCCATATAACCTACTTTTGTCAAAGACTAAAATTAATAACTATTTTATTGTTTCAGCTCTAAGCGTACTGGAGGGCAAGCAAGACATTTTCGAAGAACTTCGCCATAAATATGTAAAAACGTTCATGGCGAATCAAGGGTTTTGGCTCCCAGTACAGACTATAAACTTTTTCTTCTTGCCACCACATCTTCGTGTGGCATATGTAGCGTCAGCCTCATTCATCTGGATCAACGTGCTGTGTTACATCAAGCGACAGCAGATCAGTGCCAATCAGAAAGCATTGCAATCAAAGTAGGATACAGCCTAGACCTAATCTAGACCTTAGTACATGCAGCAAGGTTCACTTTATGCAGGAAACTTTATCGCTATCTTTCTCAATGTTGTCGGAAACTTAAAACACAGAATCAGTGGCATTGATAATCATAAAATTTAGGGAAAGTTCTTCTCAAGTTATGGCATGAACACGGAGCATAGTGATGAAGCAAAATGTGTGTGTACTCCTGAAGGACTAGACCACATTCAATTACAGTCAGTAGCTAACACGATACACCATATCAAGGACTAGACCAAATTTTAAATAAGTATTGTTTTCGCGTAGCTACTGACTGTTAGAACAAATCTACAAAATTTTAAACTTGAAACATGCACCGAAATCATTAGGAAATAGCTTTAAATTTATTTGAAAATAACGACTTACCTATTCATACGCGTCGCGGAGCCACTTATATGGTCATATTTGTACTTCAGCGGAAATATGAGTACCATTGTGACTCGAAACTAGAATTTCTGATAAAATATGTTATTTTCAATAAATTTTGTGTCTCAGGATAGTTCCTATCCAAAAATAGCGCCCAAGCGATAAAAGGGTGGACCACTAGTAGTTAATAAAACTGAGCCGCGGTTAACAAATAATACATGTGCCAATTTGTAAATTAAGTATTTTGTGTGTGTAATAGTTCCACACGCACTATAGCAGTAATGAGTATTAAACCTACGTTCACTCGTTTCATAGCAGAAGTGTTATTTACAAATAAATCATTTTCTAACAAATGCTTGTTTTTTTTTAAATATGTATCCATTTTAATAAAGTAGATAACGAAATACACTAAATGTATGTTGGGATAGAACAATGTTCAGGTTTTCCAGTTCACAGCACCAGGGATAAGCTCTTCAATAATCGCTTTCAGACGCATGTTCTCAAGAAATAAAAGGTTGCATCTGCGGATCTGAAAACATTTTAGAGAGAATAAAATGTTACTCTACCTAAGTGTGTAATTATGTATAGGTATACGTTATAAAATTGCAGAATAGTGCGGATAGTTAGTTAATTTCGTTGAAAAATTGTATGCCCCTTTAGTAATCCAATTTGTCAGACAAAAGACACATTCAAAACTTTATGTCAAAACAGAGAATTTCAAAATACGCAGCTGACACCATTTATCGCTCAGTGGAATTCGGTACCTCAACTACTGAACCTCACATGTAAACAGGGCTAAAGGAGGATTTGCAGTAATCCCATGTAACGTTTTACTAGGTGTGTCCACCAACAGTCTACAAGTAGCAAATAAACAACGAAATGGCCCAACAAAGTTGTCGCTAAGCAAAATTGTAAGACTTAAAACAACACCAGCGCCTCTAGCGGTGCAATACTCACGGTTTGCCAACTTACTTCATAAAGTAGAAGTGCAGCGTCCGAATCACGTTCGTTAGCCATGCAGTATTCAAGTCTGGCGTCAAATTCCATTCTCGCCTGCGTTGTGGCTTCCATCATGTCATGAAGAGACTGCTTCATTGCTGCCAACTGCTCTTTATACCAGTTCTTCTGTTCAACCATAAATATTTTGCTATAGGTACCTACTACCTACATAATTTAACCAAGTTTGCTTCGTTGATGAGGTGTTTGAAAGTGATAGAAATGCCTAATACGTAAGTATTTTTAGATTTAAAACAATCGTAAGCTGTATCATATTACTTGATCGAAATATGTCCAGAACGCTTGCTAGCGCCATCTGTGGTATCTGTCTATTTTATAGAGCTCAACGCCAAACATAATTAGCTAACATAGGCTAGGGTGTTAAAATTGTATTTTTTGTAATGTTATTAAATGCCGAGCTTGGCAACTATTTCGCCTTAATATGGTAAGAGAGAGCGGTCAACGGTAAATCACATAACTACATACCTAAGTACATTATCATTACATTTCCAATCCTTCGAAATTTAAAGATACTGGATATAAATCTACTCACTTTAAGGTTACACTTGTTTTTGAGTGCAATATATTTTTCTCCGACAGCAATCAGGGTTTTGTGCGCATGCGTAAGATGCGCCTGCGTCGAGGTCGCGCGTTCCCGCCACTGGCCCAGACGTTTATCGCACAAACCGACAGCGTTGCATTGTTCTTCGTACGCTTGTACCAGGATTTGGTAGCGCTTTGCTAGCTCTTCGTATCTGCAATATGTAGTTACCATAACAATAAGGCTCATGCCCCATTTCACTTATTTTAAAGTTGTTCAAAGGGCCTCTGCGAGTTGGCTTCGGCTCTTCGTAATTTCCCCTAAGGCTACCCACTGACCGTATCTACGCCTTCCAAAGGCCCGGAACCTTGTGGTCTTGTAAATGGAAATGAACAAAGTATGTGTATCTACGGTACAAACCGCGACGGATGCACCTACTGCCGCGGATCAGCATCCAAATAAAACTGAGTTGTGATTAGTAGGATCTAATACTAATAAACTATAGTGTTACAAATCATCATTTCGACCGTGTGCTTATAAGACTGCAAGTGTGACTACTACGGGACCTTACCAAATGGATCCTATCCAATTCTGAGTAGACTACTTAAATTACGAATGAGGCAGTTTGATGGTTTGATTCTACATGCGGCTACAAAAATAATCTGCGTGATGCCATGATCACTTACCATCAGGTGATCTGTGCTCGTTCGCCTTTCTATGCCATAAAAAATGTCCTGAAACAAATGCTTAGTTACCAGTAGATGCTCAAGTTTAAATACGTACTGGTATTGCAAGCACACGATGCTCATGGTGGACCAGGTATCTGTGTAGTCATCGTTACTTTGGCATGTTTTGCTGTTGCTTGAGGCTGGCAGGAAAAAATATAATTCAAGTATTTTGTTTAAGAGTGAGTAGGTACTTATTGCACCGACATTAAAAAGTTCTATTATTGCAGTCCAGTCACTGCTGGATGGACCATCTACATAATTACTGACGATTTTTTTTTGTGAGGGAAAAATCATCAAATGACTTCTCCCATCCTAGTGTCACACTCTTACTGGATAAAAACCCCCGTTATTTCTCCTGTTCTGGGCCGAGAGCCCACGGTGCCTCATCGCACTTAACTCACAACAACGACTGAACAACAGACCTTTAGACCTACTGATGGTGAAGTACCTACCTACCAATACCTCCTACCTAACTGCTATTTTTCAAGAGACTCATTTTTCAATTTGATTGGAATTGCCATAATATTCTTTGGTAGGTAGGTACCTACCTATTGTTGGGAGTTAATTTATTAGAGTGCTGTTGGCAATTAAATAGTAACATTAAGGAGACTGATCCAACATGCAAAAATCACATCTCGATTAAAAACCATAAAAAGGCAGCCCCTCCGAGAGCGTTGTCATCGCAGTTCAGGTTAAACAGGAGGCATAAAGCAAACGTAGTTGCAACGTGCGTGAGAGATTCTAAATAAGTAGGTACCTGCTGATATGCGGGATAGGTAAATTTTTCCTGGAAAGGATCTTAACTTTGAAATACTGACAAAGTGCCAAAACAAATACCTTTCTCTATATATAATAGCACAGAACTAAATCAAGATGTTAAAAGTTGAAAAACTTAATAATTTTTACACTTGAAACTCTTCTCCTCTGAATGATCACTGTCCCACCAATCGTTGACTCCATGGGAATGAGAGTGCGAGCCCCTACATCTCAACAACCTCTGCTCATACTGTTTGGACTTGCCGATACTCCTTTCTAAAGAGCCAAGCGTGTTGCGAACGTTCTGGACGCTATTTATGAAGTTCTTGTGGTCATTGTTCTGCTATTCACATAAAATATTAAGTAATTAGTTTGTAAATCGTACATTTTAAGGTATCATCATTATGTTCTATAGCTGGGCATAGCCTCCCCCAATGAGTTCCTGATAGAGTTTGGAATTCAAAGCCAATCATAGCTGGTTGGAAGCATCCTCCATCTCCGTCGTCCTCGAGCTTTATCTATTATTTCTTAACAAATTTTAAGGTGTTTTGAGAAACTTCTAGATGGAAATGGAAAGTAATATAAAACAACAATGAAAATAGGGATATATTGTCTTGTCTAAAAAGTTGTAAATAGCAAAAAACTTACAGCAAAATTGTTGACAGTAACACATTTCAAATTACCCGGGGAAAATAAATCGTTTTGTATTTTTACTCCTTGCATAATATATCAATTATGTATTATATGCCTTTACAAGTATAAAGTAAAATATTCACGAAAAGTCGTAAAAAATGTCAGATTGATATTTTAAGATCAACGTTGTCATTATAAAAGTGCCAGAAGACTTAAAAAAAAATTGACTCTTGTTATTAATACTTGACTTCTTCCTTTTCTTATTAAAAAAATGTTGACCCACGTCAGGATTTTCATCTGTCGTGGGTTCTACTTGACTAGTCTAATCTTCTTATAAATAAAAATGAATTGCTGTTCGTTAGTCTCTCTAAAATTCGAAAAAGGCTGGACCAACATGGCTAAATGTGGTCTTGAAATATTCTTGGATATACAGGGCAGGTTTAAAAGGTCAGAAAATTGGGAATAAATAAAAAAAAATGTAGGCTGTACGAAGTTTGCCGGGTCAGCTGGTCAATGATAATGATTCTTCGTAAAATTTTCTAAATCTGCAATTCTCGTAAATGTGTACCTATAAGAAAACTTCTGTACGCGTATATTTTCGCGTACTCAGGTAGTCGAAAGAATATTAAATAAAAATAGTATATAATTAATCAGATGGTTTATTCAACTACAACAAAAAGCATAACGTTTTAATAACTAAATCAGTCTAAAAATATTCTCCTGCGTTAAAACTACGACTCAAATATTTCATCTAAAAGGTCAGAATATATAACTATGGTTTGTGCATTTATTGCTTATTGCATAAGTTAATATTGCCTTTACGCTTCAACTCGTTTTGTACTTGCACAATTGCAGTAATAAATAAATTCTCTTCACAACAGCAAATAGATTAAAATATATTTTAAAGTTTATTTAAGTAAACTTTTAATCAACATTACTGCACTAAAATATACAAAACAAGTAAAACTGTAAAGATATTTCATTCGGAAATGAAGGTCTATGACAAACATTCTCCTAAATTTTCTATGTACAAAGGAAATAAAACCAATATTCCAAAGATTCTAAACGAGTAACACGATTATATTGTTATAATGTATGTAGCAGCATTACTTAAACTGACTACAATTTGTTACAAATTAAAGTGTCTGTACTTTGAAATGATAAACCCGCATTCAATAGTATGGGGTGACACCAGCTTCCAATTAATATTAATGAAGATGTTTTTAAAATGTAACAACACTTAGCCAGACTAGATTATATTGTTCTGGAAGACATTGTTCAGCCTCGAGCGTCAGAAGCTTTGATACAACACAAATAAACATTGAAAACAATCGATTTAACATTATACAACAATAACAGTAACATTTTCATTAAAAAACTATTTTTCACATAAATCTTTCGAGTAGTAACTTATCGAATAAATGTCCACAGGAACTTTGGGTTATAATAAAACAGGCAAAAACTTGAGTCGATACAATTTTGTGATGATACAATTCGAGGTCATAAGTTATTAATTCCATGTTCATTTTAGATTACAATAAACCTATGAATTGACTTTTAGTAAAATAAAACTTCATTGTATTTTACAGTATAAACATGAAAAACGAAATAAAACTATAAAGGTGCATAGCAAAGTGCTATAACTTGTGTATGTACAAATTACAAAATTAACGAGAATAAAATAGCGCTTGAGACCAATGAGGCTGTCAAAGCAAAAAAAAACATCTGTAAAGACCTCTCCAGCTCTATGGTTACGCGAAACAAATATGGAACACGTCTGACATTAATACTCAAGTACATGATTTGGTTTATAAGTAATGCAAGACTTTTAAATATTTACAATTTAACAATATTCTTTCTGTCATATAACAATGTATAATACTGTTTATACTATTGCTGTAATTAGGCACTTCAAAGTATAGGTTGCAATACGCAATTATTGCAAAAAGGCATTAATAAATGTATAACTTTGTAAAATAGCTGCAAAAAAGTAATGTCACATTTTGTAACATTATTTGTGATATAGACACGGTAGAACAATGCTACTTAATAAAGTCACAGTAAATAAATTTGGCTCATAATGTAGGTACATTTGGCAAAAATATTATGTTTCCTCTCTGGTACAACTGACAGTAAAGGTATTCTTTGGTAAACGGTCGATTCGAATTCGATATAATTCATTATCATCAATCAAAAACTATATAACATTCACACAACATAACAATCTTAAAGAATATTGGTTCACAATAACAATGCAAAAGAATTTGAGCTTTTGGAAAATTTTACTTATGATATGACATAACTACTGAGATCCACAATCAACTGTAGATTACTTAACTTTTTTTATAAATTCACGTCATTATCTGTTTGATAAGATAAAATTGTTTATTCACTACAATAATTGTAGTGATAGTATTCAAAAGCATGTCACATAATTAAATTCATTATTACATAAAATTAGCTTAGTTAAAAACAACATCCTTAGTTCATTTAATTGAGAACTGCATTCAGTTCTGATTGATATTTCTTTGAGTGGTTTGCTTTTCTATCAAGTAACACTAGAAAAAATAGGATAGCCATAGACTAATTCGCTCCACAAAATTAAATCCATGTTTCTTAATTAAGCAAACAGCAAAATGGCTGTTTCCATTGTAAATAAATTCTGGTTTAAACAAAAATTTAGTAAACTACAGATGATTGTGACTTATGCTACCGCCAACTTTTTTGTTTCATCATCTTCTTATTAAACATTGCTACCTCAGAGCGAGTTGGTGATGTTCTGGAAGAGTCGCTTGCCCCACCAAGTCTCCAAGTCAAAGGGTTTGAAGTCTCGGAGGACTGGGCTGGGGGCGTCATCCTGGTAATACAGGTTGGATGGAGGTGCTGGTGATGAGCTGCCGGATTCTAGAACAAATTATAAAGACCTTTTTAATTGATGTAAGTAATTAAAAGACATGTGTCTGGGGCGCATAATAATATGCTTGCGTTTGCAAGCATACACTTGGAAGAGCACAGGAAATGAGTAGATGGATCCTCTGATGATAAGCAGTCGTGTGGTCTTCCATAGAGGACGGACCCATAAAATCTCTGTAAATAAGACCTTACAGACTAAATTCAGAATGTACAAAATTTTATTCAGAAGAGCCTAAGACATTGGAAAGTTTTTAAGTTGCACTTACAATGCCATAGCATTAAAGAATTATGAAATCTTCAAACATTATAGAGGTCACCGCAATAAAAATAAGTAACAAATAATAGGTAATAAACAACAATCCAAAGGTTACATAAAAAAATAACTGCACTAGCACAATGAGTCATAATTTTATTTGCAAATCATAACTGTGTCATGTGTTTAGATAAATGTATAAACAGACACAGATAGCGATTTTATCAAATTTTGTATCAATAAATCTTATCTAATATTTGTAAATGTGATCAGATTTGTTTGTTTGTCATTTTATAAAATAAATAAAAAAATCAAAAAGTATTATTCTTTGAGAGTAATATTTGATTTTTATATTTTCAGTATCATTTTATTTTTCACTACCTTCAGAGATTTATTATAAGCATTGCAACATCTAATAAAACCAAGATGTGTAGTTTTACTATCAGAATCTCTGTCAATGAAAACTAATCAATTCTAATTGAGGAGGCATTCACAGAGGAATTTGAACTGCAATTGACTGCCTATGCACAGTGGATCATTATAATAAATATGTCAGTGGTCATGATAAATAATAAAAGTCCTTATCACAATTACATAATGTATTACATGCAACTGTGATCTTGTATTTGAATAGAAACTTCTTTCTTTAAATTAAACAAATAACTTGTTTTGAATGGAACATTAGTTCAGTCAGGTTAAATATGTCAACATCCTTCAACTCCTGTAAGTGTCGGAGAGCTACTAATATTATAATATCAATGCCAGTTTGTAAGTATGGATCAACAGATGGATGGATGATGGAGATGGATGTTTATTATCATTTACACATCAAAACTACTAAATGGATTTAAATGAAATTTGACACAGAGACAGATCATATTCTGGAATAAGTAGAGGTACAGCAGGTGGTGCCGCTAAAAGAAGCTAACCAAATATAATCTATTCTTGTAACATTGTTATATCACATATGGTCCAGTTGTTTAGGAGTAAGCTTCTAAAAACATTTTTGCATTTGGATATGTTAAGTAGGTTCTAAAAATATATATGGTGGGTTCATTTTAGTGTCTACTTACCATTTGTACTTGTCGGAGTTGTTGGCTCACTTTCTCCATAAGCTGTCTGTGTCCAAGCTGAAAATATTTAAATTACTTTTTTATATGACATAGCGTTACAAAGACAATCTCTGTTATAATTTATGTTTCTGTTAAGTATTCTTAAGTTCCACAACGTCTGGAAAGCCATCAATTTCTAGATAAATTTGAATATAGAATGCAATTGGTATGATCTATTTACCACATAAAATCTTCACCCTTATGACAAGGTGATGAAACAGGCCTTTCAGGTCATAGGTAATTTAATACTTTAAGAAGTACTTTCCAAGTGACATATCTTGAATGTAAACAGGTCCCAAGTACAAACCAGTTACAATATTTCTATATTAGGATATTGAAATTCTTTGTAATGTTACGAAATTAAGAAAATTTTAAAGTTTTTATTGAATAAGATGGAGGGGGAATCTGTTGCAAAATACATTTCAAGGCGAAATCTAATGGACATGAACTAAATCCTTCTAAAAAATGCATGAATGTTAGAAAACTTACTTTCACTGATAAATCTGATAATTTCCTCATGTTGCGGCGTAATCACATGGTGCTGTATTCTTTGGTGTATTGTCTTTTTACCATTGGAATGAAATATAGGCTTAGGCATACTGAAACACAGACGTAAGTCCAATAAGAATCTTGTTAGAAGTTCACAGTATGTAAGTACACAGTGGATGATGCCACCTAATGTTTATAATCATAGTTTCTCTTCATTTATTGAGTATATAACAATTTCACATCTTCGGCCGAAGAGGTTATGTAAAAACAGTGATGAAATACCATTAAGTTATGAACGCTCTCAAAAATATCACTTACTTGATGATTTCTCCATTATCAGACTCTGATGACTTCCTATTGTGATCTTTACGGCTGTCCAATCTTTCTAAGTTCTGTGAGAGGCCTGCAAACGAAAATAAAGATACGATATTTTCATCTCACATGATCACTGACAAGATCGAACTTCATTTTTAAACTAAATTGCATTATAACGCGATAGCTACCTCTTCGAGTTTTGGCTACAATTTTGCTGGGTCCCTTAGAAACAGTATACATTTTAAAATTTCACTCAGAAATTAAAAAAATAAACGTAAAAATCATACACGAATTACGAGACCAACTTTAAACAGCAAGTTGCTATACATATAAATACAAAAGGTACCAATACCAATGTAATTTTGGTGTGACATTAATTTTATATTTTTCTGACTTTCTCTAAAATTACTTATATGTAGAATAAATATTTTAATACATGGATGCTATTTCAGAGATTCAACAAATGTGATTGTAAAATGAAAGCAGTTGTTATTTTTGTGTGGTAGTTTTAAAGTCTTTTGTATAGCAACATTTGTGGTAGTGTCATCGTGCGGTCATAGTAGTTTATAAGAAAGAGCACGAGATGGCGTTAAGTATCATTACTACAGGAAAAATCATTTTTGTGATATAGGTATACCTAGGGGGCCGACCACGGAATAGAAAATACCAGGGCCGACCACATAAAAATCACGACATTTCACAAGAGGGGAAAGGGTTGTAGTAGTACTTATATTACGAGTATTATTTTTTTATATACTTGGCAGCTACCTATGTTTTTTTAATCCGTTTTATGATGTCAGATTTCTGATTTAGGTATTAAATAAAGTAATAGGTGATATTTTACAAAGGCTTTTATTTATTAGAGACGGAAATGAAAAAATAAATTCCACCAGCATGAAACTTGGGTAAATAAACAACAGGTTCCGTAATAACGTTACAAACAATTAAACATCGACACGATTTATGTACCTAAAGTAAAATATTTCACTAGGAAATGTACCCTTACGTAAGGCCATATATCATGGAGGAAGCAATCGTAGAATTCATGTTTCGATGTTTATTAAAACGGTGAATACTCGATCAATCGTAAGTGAAGGAAGTTAGATAGACGTGCATAAAAATGGTTTCCGTTGACTGACTCTTGATAGTTCTAATAATGATGACTATCTATGTCTAAAGAAACAATAAACGATTGAAACTGGCTACAAAACTAATGTTCATTTTTGAAATCGAGCGGTCGGATTACCTGAAGGAAAGCAATTAGCACCTGCAACTTAAGTAGTTGAAGGAGTTACGAGTGCTAGTTGCTAGCCTTTTGGGAACAAAAATTTCGGACATTTTAGGAAGGTGGGATTGGAAAGGATTTGGTGTCACTTACAAGACGAAACACAACGCTGTGGTTGTTTCACGTAGGTTTTCTGTAAGGCCGTGGTATCACTCCATTCAAGCCGATCCCGAATATTTATTTTACGCGGTCTTCTCTGAAGCGTCCACCTAAACAACCTCTTTTTTTTTCCAGTTGATATGTAGATAGTAAAACAACATAACGAAACTCATTGGAGGATGGACTTGTAAAGTTGTAATTACCATTGTAAAAGACTACAAAGTGACATACGGGCGTACACGTGATCTGAATACAATACATTGTTTGTATGTAAGTACGTCCGTACAGTCATCTAGACTTTCACCAAAACTTTCTCTTTGTAACTTAAGTGATTGTGGCCCAAATGCGGGCCTTTACTTAAGGATCTGGTGTTTTAAGCTTATCTTTGTTAACCGACTTAAAAAGAGAAGGTTCTTTATTTAACTTGCTTACATCGATAACACACGCTAAAATTCTGCAGTGTAAGCCTTGCGCCTAACGCCTAACGCCTTAGCGATAGGAATTATTGACCTATTACTTTGGCAACTGGTATTTGGTATTTCAAAGGTGCTTGATAGTAGCCTGGATAAACACCTACAATTTCTTTATAACCAATTTGGTTTCCAAGTAGGACAATCTACAGAAACAGCAATATTGTATCTAAAACAAACTACCAAGTAAAACATACCGATAGAAATACATAATAATATATATGTGTCTTTGCTTATTTTCTCAACTTCTCGAAGGCATACACATGACATGTGACCAGGTCTGTTGTGGACAAAAACTATATCAGGTATTAGTGTAAGTTGGACCTATCCGTATATTTCAGTACTGGTATAACAATGAGGTCAATGTATTATGGTGGTCGGAGGGTCTTACTCTTCCCCTAAGCGGTTGGAGTGCAGCGTGAGGTATGGGCGGCCGACCACACAAAAACTATTCAACTTGTACATTAATGATTTGATAAAGAGGCCCATCAGCACGCATGTTGGTTGCCACGTTGGAGATGTGTGATATGGTGATGCTGAGCGCCTCTGCTTGTGGGTTGTCGAGGCCAATTATCATATAAGGATACTAAGGAATATATTTTGCTATATACATATAGGTACTTAGGTATAATGTTAGTAAAAGTGGGTGAATGGTCTTTTAGATCATGAAGTGCTGTCCAGATTACTTACAAGCAATTAAGATTAACGGAGACCCATTTTAAAGATTCTGAAAAGAAAATATCTGGATATATGGAAATATTTACCTAGGAGTATTAAGTCGGTAGGTAAATGTTTAGGTAGGTCGTCGAACAACGAAGTCTTCTGTTTCTGGAAAGAGAGTGCTTGTTATTATTTTCTCTAGGATTAATACAGTAATATACTAACGTCGTTCTTCTAGTTTCCAACCCAAAACAAAACCACGAAGAAGTTTACGCGTGGCATAAGCGTTCGTTCGATATTCAAACTAAATATATATTTGCATGCTCTTATCGCCATTACGCACTGAGCCGTTGTGCCCCAGTTCTGCCTGCATTATGAGCTAACTGCCATATGTGTCGGATTTAACGATGTTTTAATATGGCCATAATGGTGAGCAAGTGTTAGTTGTTAGGGGGCCATGTACCTACGATTGCTAGTACATAGGTAGGTACTTAGGTAATAGTGTGGCGTACGATTCGATGTTTGAAAATAAGAAAGTAGGTAGGTATTATGCGAGTTATTTTTAAACCTAGCTTTGTAGGTATTTTGAATTTTCGTTCGGTGCATTTACAAATATACTTACGCTTAACAGTCACTTTCTCTGTCCCTATATCCTTAAGTAAGCTTTAATCTTTAAAACTACGCAAGCTTTAATCTTTAAAACTACGCAACAGATTGTGATGAGGTTTTTAATACTAAGATCGTGTGATTGAAGGAAAAATTTGCAATTATTTGAAAAAAGAAGCGATAGACATAATTTTAATACTAGAGGCAAAGATAGGCTGGCTGTGTCACGATTCCGTCTGTCCAAAGTACAGTGTACTTCTCACACGAACCTCCGTGTGACAAGAAGCTATTGATTGCTCAGCAGTGGGCACTTATTGACTGGTGATATGTGATCTGAACCTGATACACGAGCATGAAAACAGTGAAAGACGGACAAAAGTTTTTTAACTACATACTATAGCAATAATTAAGGTTGTAAGATGTCATAAGCGCGAGTCTGCGGTCGACGAGTAAGGGTAGCTCGCCGCCCGACCAGAACCAGATAGCGTAGGGCGAGTAGCGACTAGCGATCCGCGCGCGCCTCAAAGAGCTAATAGACCACAACAGATGGGCCCAACAAGGCCGATGTTTTGAACCACGGCTTCGGCCTCTAGTAGAAGAAGGAACGGGAGAGTTTTGGTCTGTATGATTCTGACACTCTCCCTCGCCATACCCTAGGCGAGAACGTGAGATGATCTCCGGCCACCGTAAGCGCGGGTCTGCGGTCGGCGAATAAGGGCAGCTCGCCGCCCGACCAGAACCAGGCCCGAGCGTACGGCGCGTAGCGTTCCGCGCGCGCCTCAAAGAGCCAATAGATCACCACAGACGGGGCCCTATAGGGCTGACGTTCAGCCGGGGTTGCGCGGTAAGCGCAATGAGGCACCGCGACCTCGGCTCAGAGCAGGAGAAGGAACAGGGGGGTTTTTAGTCAGTAAGAGTCTGACACTCCCTCCCGCCCGGCCCTGGGCGGGAGAAGTCATTTGATGATTTTCCCCTCACAAAAAAAACCCTAGGCGAGAAAAGACATTTGATGAAAAAAGGTGTTTTAAATTGTCCTATCAAAAACAAAAAACGCAGGCCAATAAGCCATGGTCATATTGAGTAATTTTTTTAAATACACGTGCTTAACGATCAGCTCTTGTAATGCTCATAATTTAGATTTGTAGGTCACATTTATGGCGACTCAATAAAACGACTCATTACCTACAACTTTGTTTTACATTTTGTTATCAGGAACGCGGTACTTGCATACATGTGTAATCAGTGCAGTATTTCCAGTCATATCATTATATTTCTTATGAATGCGTATTATTCGTAAACATATTTTATAAATATATTATGTAACGTTTGCTTATCTTATTAAACAGCTATTATTAGATAACATATTATTATGATTTAAAAAGAGTTGCCATGTAGGTTACCATGGAGTTGCTTGCTCATTCTTCTCCATTGGAATCTACACTTTGGAACGTGAAAATAGCTTTACTAAGAGTACTGACCGACAGACTGACACTATTTATCTTTAAGCTTTATTTTTTGGATGGATTGGATGTTCATTAACCTTACTTACATACTAACACCCGGTTTCTGAAAGGCTTGTCAACGCTAAAATTAACTAATCTCCTGTTAAATCTCTTGTCAAGTCATCTGATTAGTTGTTGATAATTCAGTCAACCAATCAGATGACTTGACAAGAGATTAAATTGATTTTAACATTGATCGGCTTTCGGAAACCGGGTGTTAGTCAAACATCAGGTTTGATTATTACATAGTCAAACCGTAGGTACGTTGTACGTAAGGTAAGTATAGCTTTAAAGGTAAGGTCTTGTTCAATCATGAGGTAATTTAAATATTTTCTTTTGTTTTTCGCTCCGCTTTCTCTGTCCCTATAGGTACCTACACCTTTTTTGTAAACCTTTAAAACTATGCAACACAACACTGTTAGTAGAAGGTTAATATACATATAAAACTAGCTAATCTCGCGCGGTTTCACCCGCTGCTCAGCTCCGTTTAGTCGTAGCGTGATGTTTTATAGCCTTTAGCACTCAGGAACATTGTAGCTATCGAACATGAAAACATTTTTGGAAATCCGACCAGCGGTTCCAAAGATTACCCCCCTACATACAAACATACCAACTTAGATAACATCCATAAAACAGTGGAGTAATTTAGTTTCAGCATTGTACACGTGCGAAGCCGGGGCGCGTCGCTAGTTCAGGACAG